CCCTCCGGTACCGGGAACCGAACTCACGACCTTGCGCTTGCCAGGCAGGCGCTTTGCCGCTGAGCTAAATCCCCAGCCCCTATACATACATATTTATGATTGCTATCTTTTTATCTTCAAGAATGTAGTGACCTTCTTTATCTCTTTTGATCATTCTTCGTTTGAAGTTCACATTGTCTGAAAATAGAATAGCTACCCCTGCTTTTTTCTGGGTTCTTGCTGCATGGAGTAATTTTTTCCATTGTTTAGACTTTTAGTCTTCAGATTCTGTTCTTATGTATCTTTTTGAGTTATATGTGTTTCTTGTATACAGAATGTTGTTGGATTTTGTTTCTTATCCATTCCACCAGCCTGTTTCTTCTGATTGGTGAATTGAGGCTGTTTATATTGATGGTTATAACTGATATGTATTGGCTTATTTTATCATGTTATTCTGTTGATATTGGTTCCCTTCTTTTTCCCTCTGTTTAATTGCTTTCCCTGCTGTGTAGTTTCTTTCCTTTACTGTTCTTGGAATTGTGATCATTTTTATCTCTTTCTAGAATATTTTTAGTGCTCTTTGTAGGGTTGGTTTGGTGGTCTTGAATTTCTTCAGTTGTTCTTTGTCATAGAAGTATTTTACTTCTCCATTTATTTCGAAAGATAGTTTTGCAGGTTACATCAATATAGTTTGGAACTTATTTCTTTCTTTAGGATTTGAAATAATTCCACTCCCAGCTCTTCTTGATTTGAAGGTATGTGCTGAGAAGTCTGCTATGATTCTGATGGGCTTCTCTTATAGGTGATCTGTTTCTTTTCTCTAACAGTTTTAAGTATTCTGTTCTTGTACTGAATTTCTGAGATTCTGATTATTTTATGATGATATGGACTTATTTTCATCATATTTAATTGGAGTTTTGTATGCATCACTTATTGTATGTCAGATTCTGTTCTGATGTTTGAAAATTTTTCCGCTAATTTTTTGCAAATAGCATTTTTATGTCATTTGTGTTGACTTCTGCTTTTTTATTGACTCTTCTTAGTCTTATATTATTTTTCTTTGTATGGTCTTGCAGCTGTTGAATTGCTATTTCTTGATTTCTTGTTATTTTTAAGAGATCTTTCCTTTTGTGATTATGAGCTATGATCCTCTCTTCAAGGTCTGAATCCTGTCTTCAATATCTTTCAAGGAGTCTTGCCAGTTTTCATTGGAATTTTTAATTTCCTGGCTATTTGTTTGAATCTGTTTCATGCATTCTATTTTTTTTATATTGATCATTCACAGTTTCCATCCTCTTTCTACCTTCACTTTTTTTCTTACCTATCTCTATTCTAGATTTGCTGAGAAATTCCTTCATAAATGTTGACATTTATTTTCTTTTACTTGAGAGATTATTTCTGGTCTGATTTCCTCTATAGCCTCAGGGATTTGTTTCTTTACTTTGGTTGCTATCATTTCAGAAATTTCAGGTGTGCCTTCCATTTTCCTCTATCTTGCTTTCTCCTGAATTTGTTCTGGGTGGGCTGGAGATCTGAGATTGAATATTGCTTCTACTTCTTGTCATTTTCTATCCCCCAAATTTTTTTCTATGTTGATCCTTGTAAGGTTTCATAATAGGTAGCTATATCATTAGTATGAAATCCTCTCTAGGAAAAGCCTGTTCCTCAAGGATGACTTCTGTTTATAGGAGGTTATTGCCTTGTATCTGTTCCAAGATCCTACCTTCCTAGTTAATTAAAAGTGAAATGTTGGTATCTATTTGGTTCAGTCCTCAGTTCTTTTGTGCTGAGCTGTGATGAGGTTATTATCCCAGAGCTTCCCAACATTGTTACAGAAGGAAGAACTACTGATTACAACAGATATGACATACTAGCTAAAGTAGTATAATTAGCAATACTAATAGCATCAGGCAGTTTGGAAACTGACAAACTGTGGTAGGTATTAATTTTGTACCTTCAAACATAGGAGCAAAATATACTATTATATAACAGAACCACTTGTAAATTGAGAGCTTATGTTCAGAGTATTTCACCGTGGTGTGGTGGGTTTTACCCTGTGGTAGGGAGATTTAAGGATAGTGGATAAAACAAAGGTAGCTGAAAAGAAAGTACAAGCAAGGAGGGCGGAAACGATGATGACACACACTTTGGGAGACTAAAGGAGAAGGCAGAAGAGAAAGAATGAGGGAGTAAACAGGGTATTGTCTGAACTTAGTCTCTGGGTTGGGGGATGTGATTATTTACAAACATCTTTGATTGTGTTGTGGTGGCTGGCTCAATGTTCTGAATCAGTTCAAATATTTACCTTTCACGATCATATCAACTTTGGGGAAGAACCAGAAGTTCCACAGATCCAGATCTGGTCAATAAGGTGGACAAAGATACATCTAATATTTTTAAGAGCCTGCCTTTCTCTTTGATGACACTCAGTAGCAGCGTGTATCATATTTATTATCACACCTTGTAAAGACACTCAGGAAAGAGGACTTCCAGATATGCTTGAGCAAATGGCAAGAATGATGGCATAAGTGTGTTTGAATTGAAGTGGAGTGTTTTTAGGAGGATTTATGGCAGTATGTCTTTTACTTTAATTTTTTTTAAAATTTAAACACACAGCATAGTTTTTGATCAGCTCCTGTGTCTGGATTTTATTATCACTTGAAGGTAAGGAGAAGTCAGTAAATGAATGCTGGATAGCTGTCAAGTGGGTATCTGTTTCCTTCTATACTTATTTTTCTTTGAGATTATTTTTTTTTTTCTTTGAGATTATTTTAAAATCTGTGTTAAATGCCAATTTAGAGACAAACATGTGGATGGACTTGTGGCCACTTCCTTTTTTAAAATTCTTCAAGTGTTTCTTTATTTCACAGAAAAGATGCACTACTATCAAGGTGATTTTTATATTTCTGGAGTCACATACAATGATAGTTGTGAAAATGCTGCTTCAGAAGCCAGCACATATCTGAGCAAAGATATTGAAACCAAGGTAAATCAGAAATATATTTTACAAGTTTTATTATTCAGTTAATTGAAATGTACATGATTGCTCTTTTTCCCTCTCTTTCAACAGATGTTACATTCATTTCAAAACTCTAGTGTATATAAAGAGTATGTCAACTCTCAGGTCCTCAAATATGTGTAAGTACATATGCTCTGATTATAGATAAAAACAATGTAAAACAGACAAACATAAAGATAGAGAGAAGGAAACAGAGAGAGATAAATAGGTAAAGGTTGGAAGGAAAGAAAGAACAAAGCAAGAAAGGAAGGGAAGGAGGTAAGGAAGGAGAAAAGAAGGAAGGAGGTAGGAAGGAAAAAGAAAGAACAAAAGAAATAGAAAAGAAAGGGAATTTTACAAACTAATTATCACTGTATTTAGCAAATATCTGTCCAAGGCAAGAACTGTTATGTACAAATCTATAATTGCCTCTATAATTGTAAGAGAATGGTGAGGTTATTAGGGTGATCAGCCCTAGCTGACTCCCATGATGAAATACAATTTTGCCCTTCAAAAAACAAGTAGTCCAACTTTATTGTTTTGCTTCCCATTACTGGGTACATTTTCATACCCATTCATACTCATTTATCCACAATGTCCCTAAAATAATCCTATTGATCTGTTTAGCAATTACTATCCCTGTGATGGGTATAGAATAAAATGCATATCTTTAGATAGCATTTTCCCAAATGTGCCTTTGAAAAGTTCTAGGTCAGGGATAGTGCTGGTAGGAAGGCATTCAGGGAGAAGAGTATGGTATATGGAGAAAACATGATAAAATGTGCTAGCATTATAATTTAGTAATTGAATCTTGCCAGAATTCTGAATTCCCAATAAAAAATAAGTCCAGTTGACCAACCAACCAAGCTACTTAATTGCTTACAGATAAATAAAACTCTTCAAAGACCCTCCCGTTGATCACAATTATTTGATAAATAGAATTGTACATTTTAAATAATTGTGATTAATATGGGTTTTGATTTGAAAGCCTTCCAAAATGAATTCATCTCCCTTTCTAATTAATAAAAATGTTACTGAATATATAGATTAACCAACCTTGTCTTCATGCTTCTGAGTTCTCTTTCTGAGCCTTCTCATTATATAAGTCTATTAGAGCAGACTAGATCTGTGTAAGAAGTTACAGAAAGAAGTTTAGTACTGGCTGTTGAATAGGTGCTAGAAGTTGAATTCTGTCCTTGACTTTCTTATCAATAATCTCATAGAATTATCATATGAAAACAATAGTTTCTATTGTACTGTAATAAAATTTCATACCAGTAATTTATTGGCCAGTATTCATTTATGTGTTTGAAATATTCTCAGAAACAGCCTATATATCCATCAGTAGATGAATGGATAAAGTACATGTATTTGTACACAATGGAGTAGTAATCTGCCATAAAGAAATATACACTGGAGTCATTTGTAGGAAAATGGATGCTCTTTGAGATGATCATGTTAAGTGAAATAGATCAGACACACAAGTGTTAAGTATTTCCTGGTTTCTCTTACCTAAGAAATCTAAAATGTAAATAAAGAAGTAAAACAAAGATAATAGGAAGTAGAGAGATCTTTTTCAAATGGAAAGGGGAATAAGAGATGAGGGATGCAAGGAATAAAAGGGATTTTTTAAAAAGTGAGCTGAAAAAATGGAAATAGAGCTTTTTCAATTGGGTTCAAGAGTTGGAAGGAATAGTGAAGTATGGGAGGAGAGGAGAACAAAAGAACTAAGGTGTGTTATGTGCATGTGTAAATTCTTCACAGAGACTGTAATCATTATGTGCTACAAATATACATTAGTAAAAATATACAATTAAAAATCTAAAAAAGAAATATTCTGATCTTTAGTATGGATTCCCCATCTTTTCTGATGACAGTACCTCTGAACTCAGAAGATTTCTAGGAACTCTTGCACTTTAATTGTACTGGAAATATCTGCATTTTATTCCTTAATATGGTTTGTAGGAAATCCAAAGTGAACAGAAAATCAACAAGCAACACGTCTGAACATTTCTTTTGTTCCTAGGCCTGATCAGAGTGGGTCAAGGGTACAGTTACTTCTCGGGTTCAAGTTTCCTCCAGCGAAGAGGGGTAGCCTAAGGAAGAGAATCAAAGCTGTCCTGCATCAGATGTTGACAGATAACAGGGCATCCTGGGGTGCAACTCCCACTTCCATTAAACTTTCAGGTACTTTGCTTATTAATAATTTTTCCCAATTACTTAGATTTCTTGACCATTTAACTAAAATATTCAAAAGACATGAACTAAGAGTTTTAGGAATTTTCAAGGATATTTTTCCCACTTATAGAGAATAAAGAGTATTATCGCTGGGACAGAAATACAAAGATTCATAAGAATATCACCCTTTTACCTTACTGAATATTTTAATGCAACTATCATAAATCTGAGAGCTTTGTGTTTTCATTATCTCCACTCTTTCTGTACCAGTTGGCAAAGATGTAGAGTAAGGTAAAAATATAACAAGGAAGCGTTAAGGAGGTGGGCAATAGAACACATGTATGGTAGGCGTGGCTAATATTGTGCATAATTGGGTTACAGATATTAGTATTTATGTCCTTAGATTAGAATTAATGCTTTGATGATATCTTATTAATATGTGGGTTGTTTATACTTTCAGAAATCAGCAAGGCTAACTTTGAAATGCTTCTCAACAACTGTAAGTTTAAAGATTTATTTTACATTTAATATATTTACAAGTGTTTCCACATGTTTTCTCTGAAAAGGACCTTGTAGTACCTCACGATAGTACTCTTTCAAATTACTGGATATGCAACAGCAAGCAGAAACACTGAAACAACACCCAGGACATGAAGGCAGATTTATGTATGTTGATAGGCACTGATTGGAATCATTCCCAGGATATCAGGTCCCAGTCTCTGGTGGTCCAGGGCTTATCTGAGATAACCAAGCAGGAGTCAGAGAGCTGAATGTCTCATCAATTGGGGATTGGTTTATAAAATGTACATCATAGTGATCAGCTATGCATCACAGTGACCAGACACTTCTAAGAGACAGGAGCAACCAGAACTACAACAGGAACTATTACCTGGGCAACTAACAAACTGAAGTATTCTGGCTGAGGGGGCATTTTCTGATACACTTCTGCCCTCTTTTAGTTTCCCTGGCAAATCTTTGCTGGGCATATTACATTTGATCTTCTGAGTCAAGGCCCAATAAGAAGCAGTAACATTAGTGTTGTCAGTGGTCCTAACCAAGGACCTTGGTTAGGTCCCCAATATTGTCTTATTACAGAATTTTTCCCTAAGTTGCTTTTTAGGAAGAAACATAATTTAGGCCTGTCAGTTCTATCACATTATTCTGGTAAGATAATAAGGGAGTTAATCTGACCTATAAGAGTGTCCAATGTGTCTTAGACACTCATCAAATCTTGGCCAAGTATTTCATTGATTATTGTATTCTCTTAGTGCAGTTGTCAATACATATTAATGCAAGAAACAGCTACCAGGTAGCAGGTAGGAAAGAATCCAGCTCAATTAACAAAAACCACAGCTAGCAGGGGTCAGGGAAGCAAGGACTGGGGTAAGCAGCCTGAAAATACAAAAATCAAGGGGAATAGGTATGGAGCAATCCTGTGAATGATGTCCTCAGGCTTTAGCCATGCATGGACTGGTCAGCATCCAGTGTGACCAGAACAGGGCTTTGAGTGCATTGTCTCTTTAGAATGAGGCTTGGAGGAGCTGTCTAGGTAAATTTTCCAGTAGATCTCAGGCTGGACTTATGAAACTTGTAGAGGTAGTTAATATGTACCTGGGTTATATGTATGTGCAGGAATATCTACAGACATAGCTGGTCTTTTAACTGGTTACAAACTGTTTCTGTAAAGTTATGTTCTATTTCTGTGTAATCTGTATATCTTTAAATAGGAAGAGTCCACTACAGTGCATGAGTCAGTGACACAGATGCTGAAGCCTGCGCTGGCTGCAGGGGGGCGGGTGCCAGCGCTGTGACTTGAGCTTGCAGAACAGTGGGTGCAGGTCTGGCTCTGAACTTCTAGGGATACCAGGGAAAGTGTTTCTGGCTGGAGTTGATGTTTCAGCCATTTGAATCCCCTGAGAGGGCTTAGGTTTCTGGACCAGATTATTTTGCATCATTGGTGGCAGGTTTCCAAACAATAGCAAGAAAGAGTTTGTTGTGCAGATCATCCCTGAAGGACAGTTTTGGCCAAAATAGTTTTGTCAGAGGTGACTATAGCATATCTAGCCTTTTGGACTTCATTTCTGACAGAGCTACTTCCATCCGTAAATGGAGTGTACTCAGCATCTCTCAGGGAGTCCATTTTTTAGAACTGTTCAACTCAGTACAGCATGTAGTATCTGGACGGTTAAGTCTCAGCCTAAGGTGAGCTTATCAGCTTTCTTGATCAGAAGGACAGTGGCTGTTACAACTCAGAGGGAAAGGTGGCGGGGAGTAGCCCTCAGCAACCAAATCCAAGTATTTGCACAGGTATTCCACTGGCCATTTCCAGGGGCTGAGAGTTTGAGCAAACATCATTGTTTTTGTGAACTCAAGGATCCAGATTTTGTAGAAGCCAGCAACTCCATGAAACTTGTGTAGTTTCTTTCTTATAACCAGTTTCTGCCAGATATCGTAGCAGCGCTTTTGTGTCTTTCAGCAGGCAGCTTGGGTGTCATCAATCAGAAATGCAGTGAAGAGGAAACAAGCTTTTGAACCTCTGGGGGTTGAGATCAGGTCAGTTGGCTTTTCAGTCCAGAACTGGGGTTTCTGTGAAGAGAGGCTGGCTGACAGGAGCCAACCAAAGGCTGAAGAAGACATTCTTTAGGTCCAGACAGTGTACCAGCAGGCTGTGGATGGCAGAAGACTGAGGCAATGTACACAGAGGGCAATCAAGGTGGCACTGGCAGTTTAGAGATCTTGAATTGACTTTACAGGCAGGAGAGGGGTATTTCAGTAGTTTGACAGTCTCTAAACACCTTGCAGTTTTGATACCTCTGGATGTGTGGTTGAATTTCTAGCCAAGTCTCTTGTGGCAGGGGACACTGTTTGATGTAAATGGGGGTTTCCCCAGGATAGAATTTACAGTGACAGAATTGTGGAGCTGGAAGGGACAGAGAAACAGGCTGTGTCAGAGAAGCCAAATCTGTTTTCAGAGCCGGCCTGAAAATGGTGAGAGAGTTCCCAACCTCTTGTGGCAATTGAGTAACAGCCCAGAAAGAGTCATGGCTTGGGAACTGCAGAATGTGAGATGATGATTGCACTGTTGATGGCACGGAGATCTTCAACAGCTTATCCGGATGATGTGTGGCTGGATACCTGTTAATGTTTCCTGTGACATCTGACAGCAGCAGGTTCAACATGAAGCAGCATGGTTGATGGCCATGCCCAGAGGCTAATCTTTAGTTTACACCTCTGGGAGGAGAGTTTCAGAACCTCAGGATTGCAGTTATCTCTCTCAGAATGATGCAGGCATCGTCCTTATTCCAGGAAACAGTCAAATTGGAAGTGCATGGTTAAACAGTTTGTGCCTGGCAGAGGGGATGAGAAGCAAGAGTCTCAGATGCCCCAGTGATGGTAACTTTTTGACAGAGGGAACTTTTGAAGGCAGAGTTCTGTTCCATTCTCTACCAAGAAAGTCACAGGTTTGCCCCAAACTTTTGCAATGACCATGGGCTCTTGAGGGCCCAGTTTGACAGAGCTCAGTCTGTCCTACCTATCCAGGCCCAACAGGATGCAATTCATTTGTTAGGGCTGACAGTCCAATTTTTCCTCAGTCAAAATGTGGAACTCAGAAGGAATTGTTGTCAGTCATCTCAGGCTGCTGTTATATGATCTTATCTGACAAGGATAGGTGTGCAAGCAGAAGGCTCTGGGAGGCCCTCTGCGGCCAAATACAGACAATGGCCAGCCCCAACCAGTTCAGTTGGCTGGATGGAGCTGAGTTGGGAGCAAGGAGTGAAGTTGTAGGTGTTGGCAGCAACTGCAGCAGCTGACGAGGATGCCAAGGTGGAATTCTCGGGAAAAATGGGCCTCTTTTTCGTTTTTTTTTTCTTTGAGATATAGGGAGTGGTTTGGTTTCATTTTTAACTCCAGAAAAAACCTCTTTTCCTGCAGTCAGGGACTGTGAGCTCTAACTAATTAGTTCCCGTTCTATCCCCCTACAGTATATGTTGTGTACACTTGAATGATGGCACAACAGACAAAGGGTGGGTTCCCCTCAGACAGAGACTATTCAGAAGCCTGCCTGGCTACATCCCTTGCAAGAACAGGTATGACTCAGCTAAGGAGGGTGCAAGGCCTCCATTAAGCTGCATGTCAATTGCCACAAAACTGCAGGTAAGGGCCAAATCCGCCACCTCCACCAATACTTCCCAGTCTGGTGCACGGATGGAGCATCCTATTGCTGACACTGTCCATTCCTCTCACACAATCATTCAGCAGGCATTCAGAGGTTGAATATTCTAACCTCTCTTCCCTTGAGGGTGACCTTAACCAACAGGAGTTAATCGGACTCTTCTGTTCAAACTGAGCAGGACTGAGAGATTAAATAACTAGGGTACCCCTGGGGGTCTTACAGGAATCAGGCAGGTGGACAGACAGATAGACACACAGACCGTGTCCTCCTCCGTTTGGGGTCCGATGTGAGCTAATTGAACAGGGAGCCAAGAATCCTCCTCCAGACCTCTGAGGGTACTCAAGAAATCTCCAGGGTGTGTCTTCCCATAAGGACCTGGAGAAGTCCTTGCTCCATCTGTGAGGGCCAGGACAGTGAGCAAAGCGTTCATTGTGGTCACACTTCCCAGCTGGTATACCAGATGCAATGGCAAACAGAAACACCAAAATGACACCCAGGATTTGGAGGCAGATTTATGTATGTTGATGAGCTCTGGTGGGAATCATTCCCCAAATATCAGGCCCCAATCTCTGGC